GGTTTGTCAAAGATCAGATGGTTGTAGATATATGATGTTATTTCTGAGGCCTCTGTTCTGTTCCATTTGTCTATATCTGTTTTGATATCAGTACCTGCTGTTTTGGTTACTGTAGCCTTGTAGTATAGTTTGAAGTCAGGTAGTGTGATACCTCCAGCTTTGTTCTTTTTGCTTAGGATTGTCTTGGCTATGTGGGCTCTTTTTTGGTTCTCTATGAAATTTAAAGTGGTTTTTTTTTCCCAATTCTGTGATGAAAGTCAATGGTAGCTTGATAGGGTTAGCATTGAATCTATAAATTACTTTGGGCAGTATGGCCATTTTCATGATATTGATTCTTCCTATCCATAAGCATGTAATGTTTTTCCATTTGTTGGTGTCCTCTCATTTCATTGAGCAGTGGCTAGTAGTTCTCCTTGAAGAGGTCCTTCGCATCCCTTGTAAGTTGTATTCCTAGGTATTTTATTTTCTTTGTAGCAATTGTGAATGGGAGTTCACTCATGATCTGGCTCTCTGTTGTCTGTTACTGATGTATAGGAATGCTTGTGATTTTCGCAGATTGATTTTTGTATCCTGAGACTTTGCTGAAGTTGCTTATCAGCTTAAGAAGATTTGGGTCTGAGACAATGGGGTCTTCTAAATACACAATCATGTCATCTCCAAACAGAAACAATTTGACTTTCTCTTTTCCTAATTGGATATCTTTTAATTTTTTTCTCTTGCCTGATTGCTCTGGCCAGAACTTCCAATAATATGTTGAATAGGAGTGGTGATAGAGGGCGTCCTTGTCTTGTGCTGGTTTGCAATGAAAATGCTTCCAGTTTTTGCCCATACAGTATGATATTGGCTGTGGGTTTGTCATAAAAATCTCTTATTATTTTGAGATACATTCCATCAATAGCTAGTTTATTGAGAGTTTTTAGCAAGAAGGACTGTTGAATTTTGTCCCAAAGGCCTTCTCTACATCTATTAAGATAATCATGTGTTTTTTTTCCCATTGGTTCTGTTTATATGATAAATTACATGTATTGGTTGGTGTATGGTGAACCAGCCTTGCATCCCAGGGATGAAGCCGACTTGAACATGGTGGATAAGCCTTTTGATGTGCTGCTGAATTTGGTTTGCCAATATTTTATTGAGGATTTTCACATCAAAGTTCAACAGGGATATTGGCCTGAAGTTTTCTTTTTTTGTTGTGCCTCTGCCAGGTTTTGGTATCAGGATGATGCTGGACTCATACAATGAGTTAGGGAGGATTCTCTCTTTTTCTATTGTTTGAAATAATTTCAGAAGGAATGGTACCAGTTCCTCTTTGTACCTCTGGTAGAATTTGGCTGTGAATCCATCTGGTCCTGGGCTTTTTTTGGTTAGTAGGCTATTAATTACTGCCTCAATTTCAGAACTTGATATTGGTCTATTTAGGCATTCCACTTCTTCCTGGTTTAGTCTTAAGAGGGCGTATGTGTGCAGGAATTTATCCATTTCTTCTAGATTTTCTAGTTTACTTGCATAGACATGTTTCTAGTATTCGCTGATGGTAGTTTACATTTCTGTGGGATTGGTGGTGATATCCCCTTTATCATTTTTTATTGCATCTATTTGATTCTTCTCTTTTTTCTTCTTTATTAGTCTGGCTAGTAGTATATATTTTTTTATCTTTTCAAAAAAGCAGCTCCTGGAGTCATTGATTTTTTTGAAGGCCTTCTCTGCATCTATTAAGATAGATGTCTCTATCTCCTTCAGTTCTGTTCTGATCTAGTTATTTCTTTTTTTTTTTTTTTTTGCTAGATTTTGAATTTATTTGCTCTTGCTTCTCTAGTTCTTTTAATTGTGATGTTAGGCTGTTGATTTTAGATTTTTCCTGTTTTCTCTTGTGGGTATTTAGTGTTATAAATTTCCCTCTACACACTGCTTTAATGTGTCCCAGAGATTTTGATACATTGTTTTTCATTCTCATTGGTTTCAAAGAACATCTTTATTTTGGTTGGCAGAATATTTAAAGTCTAGAAAGAAAAGACTATGCTGAGCCTCAGGGGGTAGATATGATGACAATTTTTTTCTTTTATTTTTTTAAGGAAATGATAATTATTTAAATTTCTTTGGTCTCATTTTCAGAGACCTGTCCTTCTCCTGGTCACCTCATTCAGCCTGCGTATGATCCTGTTGTGAATATCAAGTTTCCTGCTAGACTTGACTTAACTATAATTCATTTGCTGCAGTTTTTCATAAACACTTATGAATCAAAGACATGGAATTACCTTAGATTAGCTCTGGACCAGCCTGTTGGACCAGCTCGGACCAACACTGTTTCCTGAGTTTGGGACTGTGGTACAATCTCAAACTCTGGACCTACCACCCCTTCCTGCCCCACCTCTCCTCTTCCTGTAATACAAGCCACAGAAGCCAGGAGCAAATGGTTCTGCCGTCATCGCTGCGCTTTGACTCAGTTGTCACTTGAAATACCAGCGAACCAAAGAGACTGGAACATCTGACTCACAAGAAGATCAGACTGTGGAGAAATAAAAATACCTCTTTATTTTTGGATTGAAGGAAGGCTTTCTCTGCTTTGTTGGAAAGCAGGTGGCATCTCTAACTGGAAGGAATTCCTGTGGCATCTTCTGGAGTCTCCAGTGGTTCTGCTGATGAGGCCTTTTGGACCTCTGCTGCTGAGGCTTCCAGAGGCCTCTGGATGGCACCAGAGGCTGCAGAAGGCCAAGAATCAAGCCAGGAGGTCACATGTCACTGTGGACCTTCCTGCTACCAGTCACTGTCCCTCAAAGGACTCAAAGACCAATATTCAAATGTACAATTAAAAGAATTTTCCCCAAATGCCATGTCCCTCCATTTGACCGTCGGTTCAGTAAGGTCTGATTATATCACATTGTTTACCATCAGTGTAATAGCACATAGATATGGTTTTTCCATTTATACCTCCACCCTTTAGTCAGTCAGCAAATATGTATCAAAACAGAAAACATTTTCATCACCTTAATGTTTTACATGCTCTTTAAATCACATGTTTAGTAAATAGGTCTTTGAAAGTTATACAGTGTTTACTTGAAACTGATGTAAAAAAAATAGAGAACCAAAAATTATAGTACTCATTTTGTCTCTGTGAAATGTAATGCAATAAATACGTCATGTAGACTGTATATACATAAGCAAATATGCAAATAAAAAAGCAGCCTAATCAAAGGTTACAATAATGTTGCAACAATTTTGGTAGTAACCTTAGGATTTAGGGGCACAGTGCTTTCAAAAATTTTCTCTGATACACTGCCAATAGCACCTCTGACTGCTTATTTATATGTCAATCACTAGGCTAGGTATTCTAGGACTTTGGTCTCAACACTGTTTTCTGAATCAGAATCTGCATTTTGTAAAAGTTCCCCTGGGACTTTTTTTCTGATGTTCTACCAACTTTGGGAGCCACTGATAATATTACAGATAAAAAAGTGTAAGCAGCTGTTCCATCAGGGAGATAATAGATACCTACAAAGATTAATAAAAGGTAATTGACATGATTATGTAATTTGAATAGTGTTGTAATAGTTCCTAAGATGGAAAAGTCAATTTGAGCCCAGAATCTGGGAGCTAGGCAGGACTCTGGACTGTAAAGAATGGCCCAGTAATGAGGAAGAAAATGAGCCTTCTAAGTTGGTAAAATAATACCAGCACAGGAGCAAAGTCAGAATATTGTGGCGAGTGGAGAGGGAGGAAGAGGCTGTTTATGAGCCTGATATCATTAACAGAGACCTCATGTGAGATGCCAGATGATAATTTATTGAATGTACTGAATGCATAAAGCATAAGACAGAAACTTGGAGCCATGCAGATACAGGGAACCCAGGACAAATCATTATGATGCTTCAGATAATATAAATCTCAGATTCTTTATGAACAGCAAAGTAAGATTTAAGGTGATATGAAACAGCCAGATCCTTCAAGAAATACAAAATACAAGGGGTCCTGGAGACAGGAAAATATGATCATAGTAATACATTTCTGCTATGTGCTTGCTTTCTTTTCTTTTTCTTCTTCCTATTATTATTATTTTTTTTGAGATCGGGTTTCACTCTTGTTGCCCAGACTGTAGTGAAATGACATGATATCAGCTCATGGAACCACTGTCTTCTAGGTTTAAGCCATTCTCTTGCCTCAGTCTCAAGTAGCTGGGATTACAGGCGTCTGCCACCACGCCCGGCTAATTTTTTGTGTTTTTAGTAGAGATGGAGTTTCACCATGTTGGTCAGGCTGATGTTGAACTCCTGACCTCAGGTGATCCACCTGCCTCCACCTCCCAAAGTGCTGGGATTACAGGTGTGAGCCGCTGCGCCCAGCTGCTGTGTGCTTTCTAAGTGCTGGAACTATAGTTTATAGTAGCATTTTATCCTCTCAACATACCCTATCAGGAAAAACTCTTATTGTCTTCCTTATTTCACAGATGTCAAAACTGAGCAGAGGTAGAGTAACTTGCCCAAGACAACACAGCTAGTAAGTGAAATTGAAATCTGGACAACTGATTTTTTTCAGCCAAGCTCTTTAAGCCCTCTGCTATGCTGTGGCTTATCTGGTGACAGGCTCTTATCAAGGCAGAACTGTGCCTTGGTAGAAGCCAGGAAAGGGATTCAGAGCAGTAGGCCTTGCTCATGTGCTTGTTCTCTGCTTCTTCACCACCTGAAAATAGTGTTTCAGTGCCGGTAACAGGGCATAATACCCTTTTCCTCAGATCAAAAGGGGAGCCATCTGCTTAAGGTGGTTGAGTACCACTGTACTACACAGAAGGTTCTACAAGTGTGAGCTTGGACCCAAGCAGGCTTCAGGTAAGTGGTAGGGGCGACTGCTCCCGTGGTGTTGGCGGGTGGCACTGGAGGAATACAGCTTTGTCTGGCTCATGAATCCCTGGGCTTTGTCCCACCTGCTAAAGTCTCTGATCTCTGCCCCTTCTTCACCTGTAGTAAAACAGTCACTAGTTCAGTTGCTTTCCCTAATACCTCTGGTCACTGGGAGCAGTGATCTCACCAAGCCCCTGCCCAGAAAAGCCCCGGAAAAGGGGGAGGGAGAAAGAGCCAGAGGCTGCCACTGCGGTTTGGAGGAACCACAGGGGAGGAGGACGCTGCCACCCACAGCCTCCAGAGCTCATTGCAGCTGGGCTTAGCAGCTCAGCAAGCACTGCCCAGACCCTGGGCTAGTGGCAGCCAGCAGGAGCAGGAAAGGAAGCATGTTCCCAGGCTGCCCACAAGTCTGGGTCCTGGTGGTCTTGGGCACCAGCTGGGTAGGCTGGGGAAGCCAAGGGACAGAAGCGGCACAGCTGAGGCAGTTCTACGTGGCTGCTCAGGGCATTAGTTGGAGCTACCGACCCGAGCCCACAAACGCAAGGTAACTCAGGTGTGGAGTCTGGGTGGGCTTCTCTAGAGAGGATACTCTATTTCTTTTAGAGAAAATTCCCTTTGCAATGTCATGCTTTTTTTTTTTTTTAACTTCAGGTAAGTAAATACAACTAACAGGAGAGTATACCGAATTAAACTGGGTGGATGCTAATTTTGCCTCCAATAATATAGTTATCATTCTGAGGGTATAGAAAACATTAAATTTGATTGGTTAGATGTTGCTTTCAAGAGTTTATTTTCAATACTGTTTTGTTAGTATGTTTGTGTTGGGTTAATGTGTTGGTTAATTCAAAGGCACCAGGTATTCGCTCCCTCATTAGCCCTTCCTGCAAACTCCTGTTCCAGGTTTTTAGTTGTAAAGTATTTTTATGGGACTCCTAGTCACATATTATTTATTCCATTGTCTACATAGCTTCCTATTCTAAAACTTAAAATGAACAAACACCTTGTGCTTTTTGTCATATAATTTTGTTGCTGCCTTATAAATGATTTACAAAATATCATTAGTTTGGCCAGGTGCAGTGGCTCATGCCTGTAATCCCAGCATCTTGGGAGGCCGAGGCGGGCAGATCATCAGAGGTCAGGAGTTCAAGACTAGCCTGACCAACATGGCGAAGCCCCATCTCCACTAAAAATACAAAAAGAAATTAGCTCACACCTGTAGTCCCAGCTACTCGGGAAACTCAGGCAGGAGAATTGCTTGAACCTGGGAGGAGGAGGTTGCAGTGAGCCAAGATGGCACCACTGCACATTCGACTGGGCAACAGAGCAAGACTCCATCTTAAAATATCATCAGTTCATGGAAATACAACATTTTTGTACTTTCACCTTTTTTCTGCTTCACATTTGACTTATTTACCCTATTGACTGTGACTCTTCATTTTTTTCTCTCTGTTAATCATATCCTGGAATATGGTTTACCCTAGCTATTTAAAGGTGTATGTAACTAAGAGGAGGTTTAATTCATATAAAATACTATCCTTGAGTTGCAAACTATTTTTTTCTAATTGAATGTTATAAATAAGACTTCTCAGAAATTAACAAAATCAGAGTCTATTCAATATTTCCAGTTAGACATTTTTAAAAAATAGTAAACCAGCTAGTGTGACTGACTCACATTTTTTCCTTACAGCACAGTTTATTATGAAAGATGTGTTCCTCTTTTACAATTACAAAACCAAAGCAATCTGCCAAAAAGTAATGCAATATTTTGAGATCTTTTAGTGTATAATTTAACCCTTTTAAAACGTTCATTGTAATTGGGTTATTTTGGAATGTATTACATACCATTTTGGTCTTATAATAATAAGAGCTCCTTCCTTTTCAAAAATAATCATCTTAAATATTATACTTTAAAGTAATAATCTAGGTCACACTCACACCCTTAGGGAACTGCCATAAGCTAAAACCCCGAAGGAAATAACAGTGCTTCTAACACTAATCTTGCCTGCTTACGAGTGGAATGCAAACTTGGTTTCTGGCTTTCTTGTACCATGCTGTGTTTATGCTTGCGAATTTTTCTTTTGTTTGTAGTTAGTATTGAAAATAGCAAGCAAAATGCTGGAGGCAGTACCACATAGGGCAAAGGTCTGACTCACATGGTAAGTACACAGGGAACCATGACTGGTCATTCTGTCCCCTCACTCTGTGGGTAAGTTTCCAAAGTTTCGGAGAATCATTCCTCTGGTAGCAATTGTTGAGTCAAAACCATAGAAAGGTAACCTAGACAAATTGTCAATATTGTTTAACCCCAAATCATATTATTGCTCTCTAGTATTTTCTTACGAAACATCTAATCCGTGTATCTGGCTGCTTAAACTAAGAACTGTTCTAACTTGTCCTGCCCCTAGAGCTACGATACTCACTAGACGAATGTCAACATAGACAACTCCATCTTTTGCCAAAGTGTATTTTAGCACAAAGCAGAAATCTGTCTACTTATTTCATATAATATTAGCAGGACAATGCCTTTTAAAGGTAAAATGTATCTATTATTCTTGCTCCAAGTCTAAGGTGAACGCTTTCAAAAATTCCTTAAGAAAATTTGTTTTGTCACTCACATGTATGTACAAAGACACATTAAAGAAAAGATATACATACATTTTCCTTCTAGGGTTCTACCTTTATATAATTTTGTGATTATGAACAAATCATCTTTAAACAGTCCTTATAAATTGAAAACTGATCATATACATTGTTTAAAATCATATCATCTGTAACTTTTTAATCAGATTATTTTCCAATAAAAACTATTCAGATCAAAATAGACATACTTCAATATGCATACACATCATACACAGTAAAACATGTTAAAAAACATCTCTCTATTGAAATTACTGAAAAATATCAGTCTCTAACGTGGAGTAAAGATTTTATACTATCAACTAAATTTCTGCATTTAAAGATCTGAGGCAGGGGAGGACAGTAACTTTTCAATTGTACTAAAAGTAAATAAATAAAAATGGACTTCCACATTAGGGACATTAGTATATAGAATCCTAGAATTCTTGAGTTCTAGGAATTCTAAGAGGTCATTTAATTCGTTTTCTACTTCCATGTTTTAACTTCCATGTTTCTACTTCTACTTTTCCCCTTGCCCTCAGCACCAGTGATCTTACCAAGTAGTTGTCTAATTCCTACTTGAATGCTGCCAGTGACAGAGCATCCACTACCTTCTATATCCAGCCATTCTAAAAGTACTTATATGTCTTCTTTAATTCTGTCCCCACATATCAACACAGCTCCTATATTCCACATATTAGTATTTGTGAGCATTACTATAATTACAGATTTGTTTTTGCTTTCTGTGAAAACCTGAAAGCTAAAGACTAACTCTTATTACATTTCCAAAACAATGTTACCAGCTAACATGTATTGAGTGTTTCTAATATGTCACTTCTTATGCCTTTTGCACCTATCAACTTATTTAATATTATACAACAATCCTGTGAGGAAGATTTCAGTACTAATCCCATCCTATAGTTGTAGAAACTGAAGTACAAGTGGATTAAGTCAACTTTTCAAGGTAAAACACTAAGATGTAGATCTAGGATTCAAATCCAGACACTGAATTCAGAGCCTGCACCGTAGCCACTGTGCTGTCATGGCATGGCATACGTGGATGGTGTTATGTCTTGATTATGGCTGGGCCACTGTCCCCACATTACGAAGCATAACAAAGCCAGTCTGATCAACTGAATTAGACATTTGTTAGGTATTTTCTCCAAATTCTCTTTTCTTTAACCTCATCTTTGAGTTTGAGACAAGGATAAGAATGATGTGCCTTTAGAGGCACAGAACAGTAACAACAACAGGAAAGTATCACCACCCACAACTCTCCAACTCTCCCTGCTGCCTGTCCTCTATTTGTTGTTGTTTTTTTAATGATAAATTTCACATTTTGAAATCTTGGTTCTGCCATTTATCAACTGTATCTCTTGGACAAATTACTTACCCTTTCCAAAACAACTTTCTCATTTGTTTGTTTCCAGTATGAATCCCAGGGCTTTTATCCAATTAGCCATCTCTCACCTCTCAACTAGAAATCAGTTCCATCAAATCAGTACTTTTTTATGATGTTCCTCAGTAGATTATAACTATATTTGATTGATCAGTTGAAAAACAGCTCATATATTTATTCATAAAGGATTTGGTCATATTTTAATCATGTAAAATCTAAACCTAAAGTTTGGGTTTACACTATGATTTGGGTTTTCTTTTTGGAAAATGGATTCTGATAAATGATATTAGGGTAGATTAACTTGTGAACAAATAGGTATCACAACAGGATATTTTTGAAGAGACCAATCATTTCATTAACTTTATCAATCATATTTATAAAACTGTGGGCTTCTGAAATACAATAAAGATACTAGTATTCTACTAGAAGTCTGAGGATATGAGACAACTACTTTTTTTTTGTAATGTGAGTAATGGATGTTGAATACATCTTTCAAATTAGTTTTTGTATTTTATTTCCAGTTTGAATCATTCTGCAACTTCCTTCAAGAAAATTGTCTACAGAGAGTATGAACCATATTTCAAGAAAGAAAAACCACGATCTAGCATTTCAGGTAAGCCTGAAATATACTTTAAAAAATTTTAAAGATAAATCTCTACAGGTAATTTGGCATTCATATGTATCTCAAATATCCATTTACTGAAATTTTATAGAAATGTGTCATGGGTTTTTTAAGAAGTACTGGCTACATTACATGTGGGGCCCAGTGCAAAATGAAAATGCGGGTCCTCTTGTTCATATTACTGAAAATTCCAAAGTAGTGACTGTAATGCATTAAACCAAGTCAGGGGCCCTTCTGAGTATGGGCCTTGTGCATACCCATGAAGCTGGTTCTGTTTTTAATCTTGATTAAAATAGCTAAATAAAATGTTTAAATGTTTGAATTTTTATCAATTCATGTAAAAACTATTATTGAGTACCTGGTATGGGCTGGACATTGAGTTAGGCACTGTGGATGCAACAGTGGACAAGACAGTCTCATATCCTGCATTCATGGAGATTATGGTCTAGTTTAATGAGCACAGATGTGCCTTAACAGAATGATTTTTGCTTTCATTTGGCTCCCTAGATTCATTCAAAGGAACTATGTAGGACTGATTCCTTTGCATCTCTTTCCTATTTGTTCTCTTGTTTATTTAGTGTGATATATACAATAGCCATGACTTTTTATTTATTTACTTGCGATGGAGTCTCGCTCTGTCAGCAGACTGGAGTGCAGTGGTGCGATCTTGGCTCACTGCAACGTCTGACTCCCTGGTTTAAGCTATTCTCCTGCCTCAGCCTCCCAAGTAGCTAGGATTACAGGCATGCACCACCATGCCCAGTTAATTTTTGTATTTTTAGTAGAGACGGGGTTTCACCATGTTGGCCAGGATGATCTCATTCTCCTGACCTTGTGATCCACCTACCTCGGCCTCCCAAAGTGCTGGGATTACAGGTGTGAGCCACCATGCCCAGCCAATAGCCAAGATTTTTAAAGAAAATCTTTTTTCCTCATCTCTTCTTTTATCAAGAAGACTGGGTTGAATCGTGTTCTGATATCTTAACTATGATACTATATTACACAGGGATGACAGAGACCATCAGGGGAGAACTTCCTCCAGTTGAGTCCCCTTGTTAGTAATTCACCTGTTGCTTTTCCCAATCAAATGCAGACTTGCCATCTTTCCCAGAGTCATCCCAGGCTGTCCTGCCTCTTCTCATTTCCCTTAATCTTCCATCTTTACTCAGTAGGAGTCTTCCTTTCAGTTAAAAATTAACAACAAAACCAAACCAAACCATGTTCAGGTTAACGCCTATCTAGAAAAAAAAATGTCTCCCCTTGACCCCACCTGCCTTTTCCTTTTCTCTCCTTTCCTTAAGTACCAGTCTTCTGTATGAGGACTGTATATCATTCTCTACATTTCTTCACCTATATTCCTTCCCTAATCTGCTTTAGTACGAATGAGTCTACTAAAATTACTCTCACAAAAGGGAACTCATGACTTGAGATGCCAGAGCCCGTGTTCTTTTACTACCAGACGTTACTGGGACATTTAACCATCTCCCTTTTTGAAGCTCTCTTTTTACCTGTTTTTTCTAGTGCCACTTCCCCTGACTTTGCTCAGACTTCTCTTACCTCTCCTCTCAGTATTCCCACCAGACATTCTTCCCCAGTATCTCAGTTTCATCCAAAACCAAGGCTTTCACTACTACCTACCCAGAAGCCACTTTCCATCTGAAGTTACACTGACATCCCCTCAATACCAGCAGAATTAAATCTTCCTCTTCTATATGCCCCCAGTACCTTGAATTAATTCCTACCTTCTAAAGACATTATGAGGATCAATTGAGTTAACAAGTACAAAGTATTTATAATAATGCTGACACATAATAAACACTCAGTAGAAGTTAGCTACATTGTTACTGTTGCTGCTATTATCAATCATACCTCAGATCACATATTTCATTGTTTTATGGATATCTATCTATCTACATTTCTCTACTCATTTATATATTCTTCACATGTTCATTTATGTATTTATTTAATTTAAAACAAATCTGCATTTAAATATTCTTTTACTTTTAAATAATTGTGTATTGAGACCAGGCGTGGTGGCTCACACACTTTGGGAGGCTAAGGAGGATGGATCACTTGAGATCAGGAGTTCCAGAGAGTCTAGCCAACATGGTGAAACCCTGTCTCTACTAAAAACACAAAAATTAGTTGCACGTGGTGGTGCATGCCTATAGTCCCAGCTAGGCAAGAGGATCGCTTAAGACAAGAGGATCATTTGAGCCCAGGAGGTTGAGGATGTTGTGAGTTATGATCATACCACTGCACTTCAGCCTGGGTGACAAAGTAAGTCCTCATCTCTAATTAATTAATTAATTAAATTGGCTAGTTTTGAGTCTCCACATTTTTCAGGGACAAATTATAACATGTTTGTCCCTGAAGGAGTTTTGAAATAGCTGCAGTAATAACTGCCTTGTGTTAATGTAATGCATTGTTCACCTAAGAGCAGGGGATTGGATTAACCGACCTCCTGCAGTCCCTTCCAGTTCCACAACTGCACTAAATTGGGTACATGCTGTGCTGGCTTCCCCAAGCTCTGAAGTAGGCCACTCCTTTCCCCAATCCAGCTTTAGGCACTGAGGAGAGGGTGGGAAGGATCTTAGGCCACCTGGCTGATGGAGGAGCTAAAGAGCAGCTTGAAAACCATTTAGCCATGTGTTTTCCTACATGCTTGAAAGTATTTAGTATGCATTCATGAAAACATCCTTTTGTTTTGCCTTAATTCTGAAGAGGCAGGAGGGGAGTTTGAATAAACACTCCAAACAGTCCACTAAAGCAAGAGGTCTTATTGGGTTAAATAACTTAGGAGACTTACTCTGGACATCTGGTATTTGCAGCCATGTGATACCAACAAACACATCAACCAAGCAAGAGAACCATGGCAACTAAATGTGGCACGCAATCGGCAGCATAGTCAGCACCCTGTTGGGCTCCTTGGCAGCTGGGGTAGGTGGGAATAGTCCACGGAAACTTCCATCAGGAGCCAAGACAGAGTTTCCAATAGTCCATGGAAACTTCCATCAGCAGCCAGAAGAGTAGGGTCAGACAGTGAAGTCAGACATGTCAGGAGTCAAAAGAGGTATAGACATCTGGACTATTCTATAAAGATGGGGGCCTGAAACTGCCCCATGAAAGGAACAGGGAGAGCTTTGGCTCAGGAGTCCAGAGATCTCAGTTCTGATCCCAGGAATGCTGCCAGATCACTGACTGACCCTGGGCAAGTCATCTTTGCCCCCCGATTCCTACTTCCCAGGCTTTGTTAACTGTCTTTAAAATAAGGACTGAACTTTGTGATCTCCACAGTCCTGTGTAGAGCCAACATAAAATCAAACAAAAAGCTTCAGGCACAAGGTCAGCATAAACTCCAGGCCTAGTAGTTCAAGGAAAGAGATAGGACAACCGTGAGTGGCAAGACAGGGACAGGGAAAAGTAGGACCTCTGTCCCAGGGATCAGAGTTTACCATTGCTGCTCTAACCAGCTACTACAAACTTAGTGGCTAAAACACTAATTTATTCTCTTAGGATTATATTTCTGCAGATCAGAAGTCCAAAATGGGTTTTATTGGGCTAAAATCAAGGTATTGGCAGAGCTGCATTCCTTTTGGATGCCCTGGGGGAGAACTGTTTCCTTGTCTTTTTCAGTTACTGGAAGCTGCCTACATTCACGGGCTCATGGCCCCTTCCTCCATCTTCAAAACCAGCTGAGTTGCATCTTCCAGGCTCTTCCTAACTCAGATTCTCCTGCATCCCTCTGATGAGGACCTTTGTGATTACAGGGGATCCACCTGGACTGTGAGGAAAATCTCATCTCAAGATTCTTAATTACAGATACACAGTCCTTTTGCCATATAAAGTAGCATATTCCCAGGTCCGGGAGATTAGAATGTGGACATCTCAGCAGGAGCACATCATTCTGCCCACTACACACACCAAACAAAGCCCTCCCATGGTGTCCTCCCTCTCCGAGAATAGCACCCTCCTCCACCCAGCTCCCCAAACTGATGGCAACTGATGTCCCTCATTATCCACCCCACATCCAATCCATCCTCAAGTTCCAACTATTTAATCTCCTAAATAGATTGCTAATATATTCTTTCCTCATCATCTCATCTTATCTCAGTTACCACCACCTCTCTCCTGGAGCTTTCTATCTGTTCTCTCAAATGTTCTCCACTCGGTTTCCTCCCAGATCATCCTCCACAAATGCAGCCAGAGATTTTAAAACCAAAATCTGGTCCATGTTACACCCTTGATGAAAACTCTTTAATGGCTGACAGATACTCTTAGGCTAAAGGGAAAAGCCTAAGAAGGTTACAAAGCCCTGCATGATGGGCCTCTGAGGATGCCATCAGCTTCATCTTCTGCCCCTTTCTTTCACATACTAAGCTCTGCCTCCCTGCTGGCTATCTGTCACTTCTCTGAATAGGCCACATTTTCTGGCACCTCAGGGCCTTTACACATGCTACTCCCACTTTCTAAAATGTTTTTGCCCATCCCTTTGCCTCTCTGCCTTTGGACTTCAGTTAAAGCATTAATTCCTCAGGAAAGAATTTCCCAACTCACCTCCAAGATTGGACTAGATTCTCCTGTCAAATACTCTTCAGAGTATTCCATCCTTTTCTTTCATAATATTTACCATAGGTTTAAACTGAATGTTCGTGTGATCAATTGGTTTAAAAATCTGTTTTTCCTACTATAAAAACTTATAAAGTTATAGAACTATAAAATGTTCTACTTTTATAGGCTCTCTGAAGGCAGGGAGTGAGTGTATCTATCTTACTCTCTTATGCACCATTGCAATTCTGAAGCCTAGGATAATATAGGCACTCAAAATTCACTGAATAAAGGAATGAAAAAAGGGATAAATACAAGGTGGAGGTATAGTATAAAGAGGTGGTTTAAGTCACTATCTAGAGTCAGACATGCTAATCTTAAACCATGACACTGTGTAATATTATGCAAGATATTTAAACTCTCTGAGGCTTAGTTTCTTCATCTATAAAATGAGGATCTTAATATCTACCTTAAAAACATGTGAGGATTAATGTAGGGACTTACAGTGCTTGAATGTATTGAGGGAAACAGAACATGAAAGCTCTGTTATAATGATCATCACCACTGCAAACAAATGCTGGATGAATTCCACGAGCGCTGTGACTTCCATCTCCTGCTTCTAGGATTTCTCATGGAGAGAAGCCAATCCTATGATGCTTATGAATGGCTCAGAAATGACAGCAGCTGATTTCTGTCACCTGTCTGGAATGGGGTGCTTAGTGATAGATTCTCAAGCTTTAAAAGACATCTAGATCAGCAAGGAGCACATGTGAAAGTCCAGATTCCCAAGTTTCACCTCCTGAGCTCAGGTTCACTGAGGCTGAGGTGATATTTGGGAATCTGCCTCTTAGTAAGACCCTAGGTGATTATGATGCAGAGATTCCAGGACTACACTTTGGGAATTCTTGTATAATCATCCCTTGCTATCTGCAGGGACTGGTTTCAGGACTACTCACAGATACCAAAATTTCAGATGCTCAAGTCCCTTATATAAAATGCCATAGTATTTACAATAACCTATGCATATCCTCTCATATACTTTAAATAATTTCTAAATTACTTATAATACCTAATGCAATGTAAATACTATGTAAATTGCTATTACATTATAGTTTCATTTGTATTGTTTGTACTGTTGTGTTAATTTTTTATTGTTGCTTTTTTAATATTTTTGATCCAAAATTGGTCGACTCCATGGGTGTATAACCATGAATGTGAACTATGGTCATGGAGGGCTGACCATATATAATTCCTCAAATTCTGACTCAGCCATCAACTTTTTCCTCAACTCCCCAGACAGAATTTGTGCTTCATCCTCTCTGCTTCTGTAGTATTTTGCTCATATCTCAGCAGTTGCCCCTATCATACATCTATCTCCAAACTAGCTTGTGAACTCCTTCAGGACAGGGAGTGTATTTGATGCATGTAGCCAGAAACTCTAACACAGTGCCTGGCAGGTAGAAAGTAAAACCTCACTCTTGATTTCTATACCCCTAATCTACTGTCCCTGCTGTGTTCTCCATTGGAGTAATTAATAACATCATTTGCCCAGCTGTTCTGATAAAACACCTTGAGGTCATCCTTGACTTCTCTCTCACACAAGCCACTGCAATCCATCAGCAAGTCTTGTTTGTTTTACCTACAAAAATGTCCAGAATCCAATCATTGCTAATCACGTCCTGCTACATGTGCTGACCCAGTACACTGCGGTCTCTTTCCTATACTCCCTAATCTCTCTGCTTCCATTCTTGTCACTATACAGACTATTCTCTATACAGCAGCTAGGATGAACTTTTGTTTTAGGATGAACTTTTAATACACATCATAGTATGTCTCTGCTGCACAAAGTGATTTCCAATTTTACTCAGAAATGCTCCAGTGATGTCCCACTTAGAAGAGGTGTGGTGGTTCATGCCTATAATCCCAGCACTTTGGGAGGCTGAAGCAGGAGGATCATCTGAGGTCAGGAGTTCGAGACCTGGTGACATGGTGAAAACCCATCTCTACTAAAAATGCAAAAATTAGCTGGGCGTGGTGGTGTGTGCCTGTAATTCCAGCTACTTGGGAGGCTGAGGTAGGAGAATCGCTTGAACCTGGGAGGCGGAGGTTACAACGAGCCGAGATCATAACACTGACTCCAGCCTGGGAGACAGAGAGAGACTCCATCTCAAAAAAAGACCAAAAACCAAACCAAACCAAAAAACAAAAACAACAACAACAAAAAGGAAATGCTCCAGCAATGTCCCATTTTGCTTAGAAGAAAATTCAAGTACTTACCATAGCCCCCCTTGTTCTGCACACCCACCATTCACCTCCTCTCTTCTTTCTTCCCATAGTATTTTTCTTACTCTTCCTTAGATATATCAAGCCTACTCCTGCCTCAGAGCTAGAGAGCTGTGTGATTTGCTTCCTCAATTTATCTAGGTCTCTGAGCTCTCCTATGTCAGAGAATTCTAAAGTAACTACTCTCTCACATCACCCTCTGTAATTGAAATGAACATCTTGCGTAAGCAAAGACAGTTATCTCTAAGGAATGACAGTGGGTCAAAGTGGGCTGGACATGGTCAGAACTATTTCTCCTACTCTCTTGACTTCTTTTCGGTCCAGTGTTTCTACCATTCTGTTTTCATCTGTGTACATATAATGTTGAGTTAATAAGCTGCTGAAACCTTCTAGATTGAAGATAAGTGTGTCAGCCTCAGGACCAGGAGCAATGGTAGCAATCACTCTTGGTAACTCCTGTTTGTTTTTTTGACTTATTTTGGGTCCAGTGTTTCTACCATTCTGTTTTCATGTGTGTACGTGTAATATTGAGTTAGTGAGCTGCTGAAACCTTCTAGATGGAAGATAAGCAGGTCAGCCTCAGGACCAGGAGGAATGGTAGCAGTCGCTCTTGGTATAATCTGTTTGTTTTTCTTGCTTAGCAGTGCTGCCCTTGGTGATCCTGAATACAGACATAGTTTAAATCTTTGTTTTCACAGGACTTCTTGGGCCTACTTTATATGCTGAAGTCGGAGACATCGTAAAAGTTCACTTTAAGAATAAGGCAGATAAGCCCTTAAGCATCCACCCTCAAGGAATTAAGTACAGTAAATTATCAGAAGGTAAGAGATATTTAATATTTTTCTAAGGGAAAATGTCTAAAGTCTTTAATACGAGCATCAAACATTTAAAACTAAATTGTTAACCATGTGTTGTTAGGGAAATCTCTTGCAACTGGTAATTATAAAAATTGTTGTTGTTGTAAGTTCCAAGAGAAGAAAATGAGAAGTGGAGTCCTCTAGACCTACACTTTTCACTGGGCTCTTATTCCTTAATGTTTGGGAGGACATATTACCCAATTTCTCTGAATTCTCATATGTTCATCTTAAAATGGGAATAATAATATGTACATTGCAAGATGGTTTAAGGCGGGGGTCAGTACATTTTTCTGTAAAGAGCCAGATAGTCAGGCCAGGCGCAGTGGCTCACGCCTGTAATCCCAGCACTTTGGAAGGCTGAGGCGGGTGGATCACGAGGTCAAGAGATTGAGACCATTCTGGTCAACATGGTGAAACCCCGTCTCTACTAAAAATACAAAAAAATTAGCTGGGCACGGTGGCGCGTACCTGTAATCCCAGCTACTCAGGAGGCTGAGGCAGGAGAATTGCCTGAACCCAGGAGGTGGAGGTTGCAGTGAGCCGTGATCGCGCCATTGCACTCCAGCCTGGGTAACAAGAGCGAAACTCCGTCTCAAAAAAAAAAAGAGCCAGATAGTCAATTATTTTGGCTTTGCGGCTCATCAGATCTCTGTTGCCAGTACTCAATTCTGCCTTTTAGTACAAAAACAACCATAGACAATATGTAAGTGAATGAGCAAGGTTGTGTCACAATACAACTTTATTCTTTTTTTATGGCTTTGGTTATGGATGCCAGAACTAATTAACTTTATTACCTTATTCTTTCCCTCAAGTCATACACCAGAGTAAAATTGCCTCTGACGATACAAATTAATTTACAAAAACAGGCAGTTGGTTGGATTTGGCCCATGAGCCACTGACATAGTGACATAGGACTAGCCTGATAGAGGCTTCCTGGCACATAGATGACACCCAGTAAGTGGTATTTGGTGGTGGTGAGGCAAGAAGTATTAATAGTATTAGAACTTTGGACATAGTGAAGTGGTTAAGAAAATAAGCTTTAAAGGCAGACAAGCCAAAATTCATTTCTGATTCCATGACCTTAGCACCTCTGAGCCTCAGTTTTCTCATCTATAAAATGGAAATGATTATAACTACCCATAAGACTGCTTGAAATGTAAATGAGATCACTTACATAGAGTACTAAACATGGTTCCTGGGATCTGATAAGCTCTCAATAAAGAATGATGATAATGATGGCAATAATCATAAAGATGACAGTGATGCAAATTATTTTATCAGCCACTGAGTAGTAAGTACTCGATGTCAATATGGGTCTCATCATCCCATTTTGCTGATGTTCAGATCATTGTAAGCATAGTAGAGTTCCATCGGGCACTGGTATAAAAAAATTGTATCCATATGGTAATAGTTGTTACTATAATAACATTTTTAAATAATATCAGAGTTTTCCTTCTCCCACATGTTTCAGTCATCATACCTTTGAGACAATAATTGAGTAGGAGAGTGGTTGAGGTTTACAGTGCAGGTTTTAGAACTAGACCGATAAGTGCAAATCCTGGCTCAGATACTAGCTGTGTGAGTTTTATGAAGTTATTTAACCTCTGTGTGCCTCAACTTTCTCATCGGTAAAATGGGAACAATAAGCATATCTATGGCATAAAGGTTTGTGGTCACCAAATCTTAGAATAATGCCTATCATATAACAGGTACTCAATAAATATTAGCTATGATAGTAAAGATAATTCTTCAATTAAAATGTGTTCAAATAATTTAGTGTTTATCTGAAAACTTATTCATTTCAGAAAAAAATCAGAAAGTGACTTTTATGCTTATTATTTTCTATGTAAACTGTCATCACACTCATTCCCACTAAGGTATAAGTGACTGATAAGGTCAACAAACTACCTTCCTTAGGAGTATTTGCATTAGCACTTAATCTTTGGCTTGAGGAAAAACAATGAAGCATTAACTGTGGCATTGAGATTTCTTCAAAGGTGAATTTGGCAAGACTCTGGGTGCGGTAGTGTACACAGGAGTTTCTCCTATGTTCTTAAAACCATACAGTGACATACATGAAGTCAATCATACAGTGACATAGTGAACAACCACTTCACCTACTTATGAGACTTCCAGATGACTGTATCAGGAGTTCAGTAATGTAAAGAAGAAGGGGGAGAAACCTCAAAATATCAAAATGTCACATGCAGGTTTCATTTCAAACAAGGGAGGAGGTAAGAATTGTAGACTTTGCACCCTACTTGGGCTGTTTGCACAGTGAATGAACCTTGCAACATTATCCCTCTTCCTTTACTGTTTATTTGTCCCTCTATTCCCCGCAGCCAGCAATTATTTATGAACACTCGCTTAAAATGCTCCCATAACTTCCGCTGGAGACATAATTATTGGTATATAATATTGCCTCTGGTCCTATGACTCTAAGAAAGGTAAATACATATCGGTAGGAAAAGTAAAATATGACCTTGGAAATGAGATGTGAATCTAGTAAACAGATAGTATCTTTTATGATAAAAGACAACCTTAGTTGACTTTATTATTTTCTCTGCATTAAAATAAAACATCTCCTTCTCCATGTCTGACACTCACCATCCCCTATAGCCTCCCTCTATGGTTTGAGCTATTTTTTCAGCAGTGGGGATAAACTAATTGCATGCTGAGCCAGTTACATGAGAATCCAGATTCCTCTATCTCAGGGGTAGATATTTGGGAGGTGGGTGGTAGGGGGTTAAGACAGTATTCTATAGACTTGAGAAACCACAACAGAACATAAGACAAGTCTGGGTGACTCTTTTTGACAGAATGAACAAATGGTGATTTGTAAAAATGCTTACAAGGATATTTCCTTTAATAATGTATTTAGTAAGACTGTTTTTAAATCAGGGAATAAAATACTTGTAACTAATCACTTAAAAACCATCACTAAAAGGGTTTCAATTTGAGGTTAAATTTTCAGAAATTCTGTAACTAGCATGCATCAAATTGATTGACCATAATGCTGCATCTTTGAGCAAAGTTTGTTGCTCAGTAACAGTTTCAAAGTTGTTTTGTTCAAGTACCTTTAAAAAGCTTGCCTCATGGAGAATTTAATATTATTTTATTTATATTCTCATATTTTAAATGTATGAGTTGCATATGAATATTATGTTACAAAATTAGTTCTATAACATAGCCATCTGCTGGTAAGCCAGCTCTCCAAATAAAACATGTTTTCTGCCAGACGTTATTTTTATGTAAGTGTTGCCAAATTCTCTGCATGGAAATTTACTCTTCTAGATTTTTCCAAAACATTCCAATGCTTGACATAATGTAAGTGATTACATTTTTTCACTTTTCATCTTAGTATTTTGACCTTATGCTGACACTTCCTTGAGTATATTATAAACACCTGAAACAAACTATAATGGCTATGGTTTCTATATTTTATAAATCACAAAAAAGTAGATCCCTTTTCCAAAGAGACTTGTAAGTCCTGTGCAATGAAATCAGCTCTTTATAAAACATCAGCATTGATTTGCCCATTGCCTACTTTATAGCTTCTAGAAGAATGTTCTGAATCTTTGAATGCATCGAGGCATTCACTAAGTTTATTAACTTAGGAGAGGAAAAGAGTTGTTCACAAAAATAAGTAACAAGGGAAGAGTTACTGAATGAGCACCCTAATGGGTAACCAAAAAGGCTCTTTATGTAGCTTCACTTTTCCAAAGGTTATATGCACCATTTTACATTTTAAAAAAATACTGAGAGCCTTTGGCACGTAATTACTACATTATGACAAGAGCAAATACAATTCAAAGCTATTGACTGAGCAAAAAATGAACAGAACTGAGTAAATACAAATGAAGAGCTACCCTTGTGTAAAGAATTTATTCTAGCAAGAAGCTGAACAAGGACTTTTTGTACTCTAGCACAATAGTAGTCCCTGTCCATTTCTCTTCTTTGCAGTTTAGAGCTTTAATTTTTAATTTTGATTACAAAGTCAAAATACATTCACTGAAAATGCATTTCACAAATGCTTCCTCTAAACAGCTGTTGGCATTTCATACTTTATAATAATGAATGTTGCAAAATCAAAGATATAACAAACCTATTTTATTCTAGAATAGAGGTAAAATAATTTGAAGTGAGAAGAATAAAAGCATTGATAAAATTATACCCTAATTATCTCATTAGCAGTCCTCACTCAGTGGAATTACAGAATACATCCTATGTGTAAGTCTATATTGTTTGCTATTTGTTTCAAGATGCTCATAATTCAACTTTTAGTAGTATACTAAACTTAATTGACATCATTCATTTAATTATTTGAAATTCATCTTATATTTAACTGACAGATCAATGTGAAATTCTGAGTAATTTAGTTCGGTCAGTTAGACAGGCTTTAATTTGTGTGACTAGAGTAACCTTTCATTATCAATCTCAAAATATGTACTCAAATATATATAGTAACTTTTTAAGCCAACTTTGTGTTAAAATAAACTTAGATGTGAAATGCTGATCATTTACAAATAAGTTCAATATTGTTAGAAAATCAGTCACCCTGCTTAACCAGCACAAGTGTTATAGCATCTTAGGCAATTTTTAGATGCTCATATTGATTGGTTCTCATTCCAGATTGACAATGTGTTCTAATGATAGCCCTAGAAGAAATCTAGATGACAAACCTATCACAATTAGGGCACCAACATGTACCCTACAGTTAACTAGGCTGAGCCCCTCAAGGGCCCAAGCCCTGTCATCTTTACATTTGTACTCTGGCATTTAGCACCGAGTCTGGAAACTACAGGATGATGACGGTCATGATGATGATGATATTAATCATTACTGAACTAAACTGAGAGACCAAAGACTGATTAGAAAGTAGGGACTATACATTACTTTCCCCTTGTTATAAAATTATTGATTTTGCTGATAATTTTGATCAGGTACCTTGTCTTACTATTACC